GCCTTACTGATCTTTGTAGACGAATCTTAGGTGAGATCAACCCGTTAACTTGTATTTTAGTAGTAGCATTAGAGTGCAGAATGTCTCCTTCAATGAAACCAGTCTGGGATGGGTGAATAATATCGGTCATTATAGGAATGAGTCGATTGGATAAAGCTTTGGCTAACATTTTATATACAACAGTTAGGAGTGTAATCGGCTTATAATTCTCAATGTTGGATTTGTCACCTTTCTTGTATAGAAGGGTAATAATACCTTGTCCAACAATCTCCCCCATTTGTCCTGCAGTCTGCATTTGATTGTAATATTCCATTAGATCATCTGATATGACATAGTTTCCCAAAACTCTTTCGGAAGACCATCAATTCCAGGTGTTTTATCCTCCTCCATCTGTAGAAGTGTCATCCAAATCTCATTCTTTGTAACTGGTTCTTCTAGTTTCATCCTTTGTTGTTGTGTTAATGCCTGCTTCATCGGAGTTAAAAAACTTTGTAAAACTTCATCATCCTGAGTGTCATTAATTGTAGAAGTAAAAAGATCGTTAAAAAAATCATAAGCAACTTTTAGACTACCAGCGGATGTGGTAGGATCTCCTTGGTAGGGAATGTTAGGATTCTGCAACACCTCAATGGTAGATCTTCTAGCTCTTACCTGAGCACGGGCAAAAAAATAAGCTTCCATTTGTCCTTTTGTTTCATGTTTAGTTAATTTGCCCCTGATTAAGTGTCTCTGCCAACGTTGTTGAGCAAAGGATAATAGTTGTTTCTTCAAGGATTGTAGGTAAGTATGTGCGTCCGGATCTAAGGAATGGTGTTGTTCATAGTTCAAGATTTGTTTTTGAATTTCTATTTTCTGAGAAAATTTTACTTTAACCATTAATTTGGAATATTCATTACATTTTTTGGCTAAAAATACTAACCCATTGTTGAACCACGAAATGTATGAGTTATGTCTATCTTTTGTCAATTGCCAAAATTTTCATACTTCTTTAATAAAGTCCTTGAAACTTTTTTGGGCCAACAAATGAGGTATTTAATTTGTAAGAGCCTCGACCCTGATCTGGTTTCTTGCGAAAGGATAAGAGAACTGCACACATCTTATGATCCGCCCCTGGCCATGGGCTTTGTGAATAAATATTTACCCCAGTCATTGCTCGCTCCAGGTCATTAGGTAACATGATTAGATTTATTATCGATCTGGATTGATGAGGTGATCCACAATTTCTTATACATGTAAAAAAAAATTCTTGTGGGAATATCCTCCTGTAAGAGTCAAAAAACGTTTGTGATTCACAAAATTGTTGAATAATTCTCTCATCTTCTTCTACATATGGTGGACAAGGGTAAGGGATCTTCCAGCGATCCAGGCACCTATCAGGGGCTGCATTAAAGTCCCCTGCTATCACCATAGGGATGTCTTTGGGAATATGATTACAGATATCATTGTAGAATTGTCTTCTTTCATTTAAATCATTAGGGGCATAAATGTTCATAACACCTATAAGTTCGATTTCTAACATTACTATAGCCCAAATCCAACGCCCCTATACCTTGTCTGCCTCCCAGTGGATTATTTGTATTCGGGAGTCAGGTGGAACCCGAAATGCCACTCCGACTGATCCGCTATGTTGAGCATGAGCAACAAAATTTTGAAAGGGTCATGCCAACTTGTGAACTCTTTGGTGAGTTGGGATGTCCAAGAGGTGAGTTTCTTGTATACAAATAAGATCTGGCCAGGTACGCCCTCCCACCCCTTTCAATTGTTTTACTAAGGCTCTCCTCTTAACCGCATCTGTTGTAGCTAACCCATTAACGTTTAGGGATCGTAAATCCATATCTGCTTCTTTTGTAACCCTTTGCCTGTTAGTATTTTTCCCATAATAGGCTTGTATTGCATTCATATTAAACAAATATCCTGATTTATGACCCCTAACATGATTAGACTACAGTCTAGACCAGGATCCACCTTCCAAGGGAGAGGTAGTGAAATTAAGTAGACCCCTTCGTAGAATAGAGCACAAGAAAGAGGACACTTCTGAGATGGACCATACTGCATTTGCCTTGACTTTGAGTTGTTGAAGCTCCAGCAAGGCAGCATGGGAAAACCAACGAAGACCTGCTTCTTAGTTCTCCTCAACCCTGACATAAGTGTCTCTCTTAGTTATTTTAGCTTGGTCTCCCAATTTTGTGAGGGTCGTTTGAGGTCCTGGGTCATAATGCTTTAAGACAAAGTCATGTAGATCTCTTTTAAAAGTTTTATCCCCTGCTGTCTGGTAATCTACATATGTAGTTCATCCCCTTAGTGTAACACCCCCATATTGGTCTTGTCCGATGGGAGACAGACCAATCTCCCATTTTCCCCCTTTCTTTCTAATAGGAATGATCAAATTACCTTTTTGCAATTGAGACTTGGATGTATGACCTTTTTCCAGCAAATGTCTGATTTTCTGTCTTTTACCCTGTTCACCCTCACCCTTTGCCTGGAATGAAAGAGGGATTAACATCAATTGCCTCTATACACTTATCCTTTTCTGATTTGTCTTTGCTGTCATCGGCCGTTTGAGTAGAAGAAGTCAGTGGTCCGCAGTCCTCTGAATTATGAATCTCCACCTCATCTCCCTTGGACGTGTTATTTTGTAAATCCTTAGTTCCTTCGTCCTTGTGCTCTTTGATGATGACCATGACACTGTTATTTCCCCCGGATTGATCCTGAGAATTATTATCTTTCCGTTTTTATCACCTATTCCGGATGAAATTGGTGTCCCCATAGATTCCAGCACTACCAATTCTGAACTTGTTCCTAGATTGGGTGTCTTTTCTACAATCAATGGGGGTTGAAATATTTGGAGTACAGTATCCAGCATCCTCTGACTTGCTACAATCCATTGTGCCCCTTCTGGCAGGCCATGGAGTAGTACCTGGTTGAGGCTAGGGCTATTAGTAAGCATAGCGATTAGCTGAACATAAGAGGCATCCCAAAAAACGTCTGACGCTTCCCCATATTTATTTTTTAAATTTTTTAGCATCCACTCTGCCAGCTGAATAATCTTCTGATCCTCTTGACCACTTGAAGGAGACTGTTGTGATGTATCTACATCCTCCATTTCAAAGTCCCCCTGTAGAGGAGTATTGTCCACCTCCATTGGAACTGGTCCAAAGGCTGTGTGAAATGGATCCAGCTTCATTGAATCTTGCTGTTCATGTACTTGATCTTCGTTTATGTCACCCTTAGCAGAGGTCTCCTCTACAGATTTGTCTGCCATTTGTTTTCTTTTCCTTTTTTTCTTTTCCAGTTTTTCAGAATCTCCTCCTCCTCTCGTTCCGACTCCAATTCTGCTATTTCATTGGAGGACTCTTTTGATGAATTTATTTCTGCATTATTTATGTATCCTTCTGGTTGTGGTCCTGGAAGACATGTCCCCTGAGTGACTGGTTTCCATACAGTCTTCCTGTTCCCCAGTCCCGGACCTGAACCTTGGCTACTTGACCTGCGTATCTCAGACACTTGCGACCCTTGGACCTCTGTTGACTCTTGGATTCCAACTGGATCTTTGCCTTTCAACTGTGGACCCCCTGAAGTACTTGAGGTACTTGAGGTAGCAGATGTTCCCAAGGCTGGTCCTGGGGCTGTGTTCCCTTGTGTCTCTGAATTCACAGTTGGATGAAGCGGTGATTTGCTGGTCATTTCTGGGGGAGCCCAACTGCTGGGAGCTATCATCCACGGGTTGCGATGGCAGGATGGGGAAGGATCCAGTGTATAGTAGCAGTATATCTGGCCCCTGACATATGGACCCGGTTCTGGCAATAGGGTCCTTCCCAGCCTGTAGCACGATCATGATTTTTCGTATCCTCCTCCTTAAATTCTCTTATGCTCACCTACGTACTTCTAAAGGACGCTGAGCCTGGTTCTCAGCAAACATGTATCAATGGGACGCTGGACCCGGTTTCCAGCAGGTGTTGCTCCCCACCAATAGATGGAACCTCCCCCACGGTGCTAGGGGTGTCTGCTCTTATCAACACCCCTAGCAGCCACTTGGGTTGTTTAAAAAAAAAACTAATAAAAATAAATAAGTAAATAAATAAATAAATAAAATAAACTAAAATAAATTGGGATCCCCTTCTCTTTCCCATGTCCAACCTTTTGGAGGGGCACCCTTTCTGGTGCTTTTTTTGTATACCCACCCCTCATGACCAGCATCCACTGTCCCCCATAAAAAAATGTTTAAAAGAATCCCTAATTAACCTACCTGTAGTTCTATTTTTTTTTTTTTGCGGATTTTGCTCACAATTTGTATCAGAACTGAGGTGGCCATAAGCTCTGCACCTAAAGCACCACGGCCTCAGCTTATGAGCGGTGGCTGTTCTGCTCAGTTTTATATCTGATCCGTGGTCCATCGGACCACATTAAAAAAAAAAATAATAATAATAATAATTAAAAAAAATTCCAGGGGAAAAGCCTCTGCTGCTACTCGATGAGGTGTGGGGGACAATGGGAAAGGGAGGGGCAGCTACTGGCAAAATGCTCGGTCTTTGCGTTAGCCGGACCCCCAATTGCGGCCCCACCCCATCTCTGGCTGTTGGGGCGGGGGGCAACATGAATTACCTCGTTTGCCAGAGGCCCTATGCTTGCAGGGGTCCCCTCTATATAGTCTTAGGAGTAGTGGTAGGAAGGTAGTGAAAGGCGAAAAAAGACTTTGAGTGAAGAACATAGTGTAGTTTAAGGGGAAAAAAAAGATATCGTCGTGAAGGTGACCATCCCCTGGGGCCAAGTCCCACTAGCAGCGTTGAGCTACCTCAACGCCTGAATCTGGACACG